TCTTAACTTTTATAAAGAATATCTCTTTGGATTTGAGATTTTAGTCTTTGCAACTTTACAGATCTTCTTTATGCACTAAGAGCTTGTAACACTCCAAAGAGAAAGGAAAAATTGAAATCGCATCATATGACCCCTTTAAGAAATTGTTCGACCTGGCACCTCTGTTAGTTTTATTACAAGGTTTTTTATTTCTTTTTTGTTTTTTTCACAGGATGTGGGGGAACAAAATTATCCAGAACACCAGCTAACATCAACAATTTGAGAGTATGTGTGAATACAGAGGGTAAGGTTGATTCCTACTTACCACAGAATATGTCTATAAAACTAAAATGAGACATTTTTGGTAAAAGCTTTAGTTTCTGTGTTGTAAAATAAGTTGGACGTGTGATTGACAGGAGACTGTTACATTAACAATGGTGAAAACTACGCTGGTAGTATGTCTGTCACCAAGTCTGGAAAGTCGTGTCAGTACTGGAAAAGCAACTTCCCCCACAGGATTCAGTATGTACTTCTGCTCTTTTTGTTGTTCTTGTGTTGAACCACCTTTAATCGTTTTATATTGATTGATTAGAAAACACAAATGCTTTTAGTAAAGAAAAGGTTGTTTTGTTTTCATGTGTTTAGCTTTACAAACCTTCAGTGATATTGAAACAGCTCTTCTATGAAGGTAAAATAATGCCTAAAAGATTTGCAAACGTAGGGTAAGAGTTGTGGAAGTGTACATAAGACTGTAAGCGTAAACTAGATGAGTAAAGTTTGTAGACAAACTTTAAGTTGGCTTGAAAAAGCCTAGCCAGAAAGTTTGAAGTAGTTTTAAAAGCTTGCAATCTGAAAGTTTTCAGTTTGGAGTAGTTTAAAAGTTAAAATAGTTTTAAAGATTAAAGTTTGAATGTTTGAAAACAGATAGGTATAAAACACATTGCTAGGGTACCTGGGGTGGTTGCTAGGCTGTTTCTAGCATGACTAGCGTGTTTTGTTAACATATTTTTAGCATAATTTGCATGTCACTAGCATGTTGATAGCATAAGCATGTTTCTAACATGGTTAGCATGTTGCTAACATGATTAGCAAGTTACTAGCATTTTTCTAGCATGATTACATGTTACTAGCATGTTGTTAGCATTATTAACAAGTTACTAACATGTTGATACCATGATTCTAGCATGATTAGCATGTTACTAGCATGTTTCTAACATGATTAGCATGTTACTAACATGTTGTTAGCATGATTCGCATGTTAATAACATGGCGTTAGCATGATTATAGCATGATTAGCATGTTACTAGCATGATTCTAGCATGATTAACATGTTACTAGCACAATGCTAGCATGTTTCTAGCATGATTAGCAAGTTACTTGCGTGTTGTTAGCATGATTATCAAGTTAATAGCATGTTTACTAACATGTTGTTATCATGATTAGCATGTTACTAGCATGGTGTTAGCATTAGTATCAAGTTACTAGTATGTTTCTAGCATGATTAGCATGTTACTAGCATGTTTTAGCATGATTAGCAAGTTACTAGCATGTTGTTAACATGAGTCTAGTATGATTAGCATGATTCTAGCATGATTAGCACGTTACCAACATGATGATAACATGTTTCTGGCATGTTTAACAAAGTTGCTATCTTTTTTGTAGCATGATTAGCATGTTACTAGCATGGTGTTAGTATTTTTTTAGCATGATTAGCAAGTTTGCTAGCATGTTGCTAGCATGATTAGCATGTCACTAGCATGTTGCTAGCATGATAATCATGCTACTAGCATGTTTCTAGCATGATTACATATTACTAGCATGTTGTTAACATAATTAGCAAGTTATTAATATGTTGCTAGCATCATTCTAGCATAAGCATGTTACTAGCATGTTTCTAACATGGTTAACATGTTGCTAGCATTATTAGCAAATTACTAGCATGTTGTTAACATAATTATCAAGTTAATAGCATGTTGCTAGCATGATTCTAGCATGATTAGCATGTTACTAGCATGATATTTGCATGTTTCTAACGTTTAACAAGTTACTAGAATAATGCTAGCATGTTTCTAGCATGTTTAACAAGTTGCTAGCATGTTTCTAGCATGATTAGCAAGTTACTAGCATGTTGTTAGCATGATTCTAGCATGATTAGCAAATTACTAGCATGTTGTTAACATGTTTCTAACATGTTTAACAAGTTGCTAGCATTTTGTTAGCATGTTTAGCAAGTTGCTAGCATGTTTTTAGCATGATTAACAAGTTTGCTATCATGCTGCTAGCATGATTCTAGCTAGCATGATTCCATGTTTAACAAGTTGCTAGCATGTTTCTAGCATGATTAGCAAGTTACTGGCATTTTGTTAACATGATTAACAATTTAATAGCATGTTGCAACCATGATTATCATGTTTCTAGCATGTTTAGCAAATTTGCTAGCATGGTGTTAACATTTTGTTAACATGATTCTATCATGATTAGCATGTTACTAGAATCATGCTAGTAACATGCTAATCATGATAGAATCATGTTAACAAAATGTTAACATGATTTAACATTTTAACATGATTAGCATGTTACTAGCATGATTCTAGCATGTTTCTAACATGTTTAACAAGTTGCTAGCATTTTGTTAGCATGTTTAGCAAGTTGCTAGCATGTTTTTAGCATGATTAACAAGTTTGCTATCATGCTGCTAGCATGATTCTAGCTAGCATGATTCTAGCATGATTATCAAGTTACTAGCATGTTGTTAACATGATTAGCAAGTTACTAGCATGTTGTTAGCATGATTCTAGCATGATTAACAAGTTACTAGCATGTTGTTAACATGATTAGCAAGTTACTAGCATGTTGTTAGCATGATTCTAGCATGATTAACAAGTTACTAGCATGTTGTTAACATGATTAGCAAGTTACTAGCATGTTGTTAGCATGATTCTAGCATGATTAACAAGTTACTAGCATGTTGTTAACATGATTAGCAAGTTACTAGCATGTTGCTAGCATGATTCTAGCATGATTAACATGTTACTAGTATGATTCTAGCATGGTTAGCAAGTTACTAGCATGTTGTTAGCATGATTCTAGCATGATTAACAAGTTACTAGCATGTTGTTAACATGATTAGCAAGTTACTAGCATGTTGCTAGCATGATTCTAGCATGATTAACAAGTTACTAGCATGTTGTTAACATGATTAGCAAGTTAATAGCCTGTTGCTAGCATGATTCTAGCATGATTAACATGGTACTAGCATGATTCTAGCATGATGCTAGCATGTTTCTAACATGTTTAGCAAGTTGCTAACATTTTGTTCGCATGTTTAACAAGTTGCTAGCATGTTTTTAGCATGATTAACAAGTTTGCTAGCATGTTGCTAACATGATTCTAGCATGATTAACATGTTACTACCATGATTCTAGCATTATTAGCAAAGTTACTAGCATAATGCTATCATGTTTCTAGCATGTTTAACAAGTTGCTATCGTGTTTCTAGCATGATTAGCAAGTTACTAGCATGTTGTTAGCATTATTCTAGCATGGTTAACAAGTTACTAGCATGATGTTAACATGATTCTAGCATGATTAGCATGCTGCTAGCATGATGATAGCATGTTTATCAAGTTGCTAGCATTTTGTTTGCATTTTTAGCCAGTTTGCTAGCATGTTTTTTAGCATGATTAGCATGTTAATAGCATGGTGTTATCTTGTGTTAACATGATTAGCAAACTTGCTAATATGTTGCTAGCATGGTTCTAGCATGATTAACATGTTACTAGCATGATGTTAACATAATTGTAGCATGTTTAACAAGTTGCTAGCATGTTTCTAGCATGATTAGCAAGTTACTAATGTTTTGTTATCATGTTTATAGCATGATTAGCAAGTTACTAGCATGTTGATAACATCATACTAGCATGATTAGCATGTTACTAGCATGATTCTAGCAGGGTTAGCATGTTACTAGCATGATGCTAACATGTTTCTAGCATGTTTAGCAAGTTGTTAGCCTGTTTCTAGCATGATTAGTATGTTACTAGCATTGGTGTTAACATTTTGTTAGCATGATTAGCAAGTTTGCTAGCATGTTGCTAGCATGATTCTAGCATGATTAGCATGTTACTAGCATAATGCTTGCATAATTGCCTTTTTAACATGATTAGCAAGTTACTAGCACATTTCTAGCATGATTAGCATGTTACTAGCATTTTGTTAACATGTTTCTAGCATGATTAGCAAGTTACTAGCACGTTGTTAACATGTTTCAATGCCAATCCAGCTAAAACCAGTTGATTCAGTAAAAAAACAGCTAAAAAACAGCTAAGACCAGCCTGGCCTGCTAAAAAAGTGGCCAAACCACTTTAAAACCAGCTTGGGAGACCAGTCAAAGGAGTTAGTCAGCTTAGGCTGGTTTTAGCCATTTTTTTTCTGTAGGGAGTTGTTAAGCTTTGCTATAGCAATAGACAGCTTAAAGCTGCAGTTGGTAAAGTTTGCCTCTTTGTCGCCATCTCTGTTTGAAAACCTGGGATTGCAGTTACTTGCGGAATTATCTTCCTTGTGTGGGAGCATTTTGTTAACATGTTTCTAGCATGATTAGCAAGTTACTAGCACGTTGTTAACATGTTTCAATGCCAATCCAGCTAAAACCAGTTGATTCAGTAAAAAAACAGCTAAAAAACAGCTAAGACAAGCCTGGCCTGCTAAAAAAGTGGCCAAACCACTTTAAAACCAGCTTGGGAGACCAGTCAAAGGAGTTAGTCAGCTTAGGCTGGTTTTAGCCATTTTTTTTCTGTAGGGAGTTGTTAAGCTTTGCTATAGCAATAGACAGCTTAAAGCTGCAGTTGGTAAAGTTTGCCTCTTTGTCGCCATCTCTGTTTGAAAACCTGGGGAAAAAAGCATTACAATAAATCGTGCTACCAATGGTGATTTAATATAATGATCAATTCGCTCATATCACATGATCAAACCGTGCTAATTATTATTATTGTTATACTTTATTCTCAGATTATTAATGTTAACAACATCAGCATTGCGCGAGTATGAGTATAGTGTGTGTGTAGATTTGAATTTCTGTACAGTCTAATCTCTAATTGTCATACAATTTGAATTTCATACCAAGAAATTCTTTTAACCCAAAAAGGAAATTATGCTCCCTTCGAACTGGTTGTCTTTAAAATACAAATCTTTTGTAATCCCAGGCTATCTGTAATCAGAAGCACATTTAAAACTGGAATATCATTTAATTTCATTCACATGTGTTTCATATAATCCTTTCTGGATTACAATCCGCCATCAAAATTATTTTTTGACATTTAATTATTCTAGCTGCTGTGAGAAAAGGCTATAAACGATTGGCCACCTGCAGGATCCTCACATGCGATAGCCTAGTAGCCGGGACAACTTCTTTATGTTTACAGATGTGACGTAATGACGCAGTGCCATGCTCGAATTTCCCGCGAAAACCTACCCGTACCACTCAAATTAGAAAACATTATTATAAGATAACCATTGTGAATTGGGCTAAAGTAAGGCGATAGTTTTGAACACTGACTGGTTATGTACTTGCTCAAATCTTGATTTTGGATCATTTTTAACCAAAAAAAGTTACGGACTGCAGCTTTAAATACACCATAAGTGTAAAAGTTTTCCCCCTCAGTGAAAGTCTATGGGATTTTAGGTGGTTTTGATAAGTCTGGTTTACGAAAACCGTAAGCCGGATCAGTTAGAAAAGGTATAGCAACCCGAGGCAGACCAGTCTGAAGGTCTGACCCTGAGTTTGGTGGTTGTAGCTTTAAAAGTCTAGGAGGAGATACATTTTAAAATTTGGTCTCAGAAGACAAAGTTTAAATCGGATTTCAGTAAGTTGGCTTTTTCAAGCCAACTTAATTCAATTTACATGCGCAAGAGATGCTTTGTAAAGGTGTAAATCGCGTTTCAAACGTAAGAAAAAATTATTTGCAGCATTTGACTGTTACTCGTAAGTGTAATTCATGTATTATGAAACTGCAGCGTCATGCTAACGCAAAATAAATATGATCTGCATTCTTCTGACTTTTGGCTCGTTGTTTTCGCTAAAATACGGTCAAAATTACTGCAAGCCTGTGAACAGTGATTTGCAAGCGAAAACAACAGTTTAAAGAACTGCAGAACGGATTGACTGCATATAACCAATCTGTATGTTTAAAAAACAAACTGTTACAAATGTCTAAATGACTTGTGCATGTGGGGCAAAAGTTCCCGAAATAAACCGATATGTACAGCTCCGTCTTTCGTTTCTCTGCGCTTACAATTTTGGCACGATTCACGTGAAAACATTAATCTTCATTTAGTTCAGGATCGTTCTCGCTGCCAGAATGGTTCTTTTAATGTACACATACATTAAAAATAAATACATTTATATAACAACTTAATTAAAACATGGTACTTCATTAGTTGTGTACCATTAGGTTAGACTCCCATATGTTCATACTGAATTGTGAGTAGGTGTTAACATTATTGGATTGGT